TATACTTTTGCTATAGATATATTTTGAAGTTTTAATTGTAATCAACTGTTTTCAAATGCTAATTCATCCTGTTCATTTTTTTTTTTTTAAAGAAAGTGTTGCTATTTGCTAATTTCTTAAAGACATTAAAGTAGGCCACTATGCTTTTTCCTTTACTAAATCATGGGTTTCCGTACTGCAGTTATGGAACTGAATCAATATTGCTGAGCTAGACAGTAATTAAACAGAGTAAGATGAAGCCACAGCAAAAGCCTCCAGACCTTTCAAATGGTCTTTCTGATACCTGTTAATTTATTGAGTGATATGATTAGGCCTTAAAAGGCAAATATCACATTGCACCAGTTTTCCATCTTAATAGTTTTATACATGATGGGATTTTCTTTCACAATATGTTCTTAGCACAGCCCTTTCTTTTTAGTTTTCTCTCTACTTTTTAAAACAGATTCATGCTTGTTTCAAAAGTCGTGAAAGTGCACAAAAAAGGGGGCTTCAGAGTCGCATGGACCATAAACAAGGAGACGTAGTTTCTTGCCTGATAATTCCTCTGTAGGAAAATAAAATATGAGTAAAGTAATTTGGTTAACTTTGAAGATTCTGAAAAACGCTAAAGTGTGTATCAGGTTGTTACTTGATATACAAGATATTTCATGAAGTGGACTATGACGTTATTTCCTTGTATCTCTCCGTAGACATAGACATTTTCACTGACTAGTTATTCAAATGAATTTGTCTGTAATATCTTGACCACTGAATGACAAGTGGTCATTCCACTAGATGACAAGGGAAATTAGTGGAAATATTTGGTTTGTGCTATTGTATGATTCTGATTTGGAATCTTGATTCTGCTATAGTTTGGGAGGTTTACCTAAAACATATGAGTTTACGTATAGAAATGTTAGCTTCATGAGATCTAAAATTCAGTTTATGAAGTCTATTTCCAAATATTTTATAACTTAAATGAATTATGGTCCAGCATGATACTTTGAATGGCATGGTTCTTGATAAAAGTTAATTATTTCTACTGCTTCTCCAATGTTACTCCATAGCATATATACAGTGTGAAAATCCAGGTGTATTCTTCTAGTCAAGGGGGTAAAATGCCAGGTTCATTCTTCCTGTCTTTAAGTTCTGGTTGATTCCCTCTATTCAAGATTCCCTGTTGCAGTACTTCTATTTATCCTACACCCTTTCTCTGGTATGTGTTTACCTTCAATTAAATCTCTGTCTGTGCTTCCAAGCTCATATTTCCTCCATGAATCACTTTTAGTGCCTTGAAATGCCTTTCAGCAAATTTGAGTTCATTGCAGCATGGCTTTAGACATGTAATTCATTTTGCTTTGTATAATAATAATTATTTTTAAATATTTGTATGTTGATATTAAAGATTACATAGCAATAATAACATTTGTTCGAAGTATAGTTTAGTGACTGCCTTATTTTAATACTGAGCAGTGAATATCCCCATAAGATACTAAGCAGATGAGGCCTTTATTGCTCATCATAAAACCATTTCTTTATCTCTTGCATTATAGGATGCTCTCGTTCCTTAAGAGCAATAGTTTGAGTTATAGGCATATTTTGTCATCAAATGCAAATTAAATCTTTTGGAAGGGTTTCAAGGGAATATGTAGTTAATATTCCCAGTGTTTCAGACAAAGTGGGACAATAAAAATGTTTCTTTTTTCTTTAGTTCCTCTCCTTTTAAAAAAAATAATTTATTTATTTTAATTGGAGGCTAATTACTTTACAGTATTGTGGTGGTTTTTGCCATGCATTGACATGAGTCAGCCGTGAGTGTACACGTGTCCCCATCCTGAAACCCCTCCCACCTCCCTCCCCACCCATCCCTCTGGGTGGTCCCAGTACTCCGGCTTTGAGTGCCTTGCTTCATGCATCGCACGTGGACTGGTCGTCTGTTTCACATATGGTAATAGACATGTTTCAATGCTGTTCTCTCAAATCACCTTGGAAAGCTACAAAACACATGGGCTTATGTTGCAGTGCTTGGTGAAAGGAATGGTGCGGCATGGCACAGTTACTGAGGATCAACCACAGCGTATTTTCTGCCCATCTTCAATCATTTGCAAGGGAATGGCCAAGTTACCTCATACTGAGTTTAGAATTATATATGACTCTTTGATCAGTAGACATGGATTTGGTTATTCTTTTTCCACTTTGTAAAAATCTGTAGCAATGTCTTTTATTATAAAAAGATCACCTAGATCTATTTTAATCTATCCTCAAGCTATAATGTCTATCATTGAAGGTTTTCATTGTTTCTTTTCTGCTACTTTTTGCAACTTCTCTAGACTTTTTTTTTTCTTTTCCCTATCCCAGTGGAGCTTCTAAAGATGACTATGCATGTCAAGTTTTCCAGTGTCTCTATAGTACAACACTTTATTTCATTTTTGTCCCTCATTTATTTTTCTTTGATTTTTCAATAAATAATGTCTTAGTCTAGGCTACCCAGAAGCAGACCTTGAGAGAGAATTTGAGTAAAATATTTTCTTTGATAAGCCATTCCAGGAAACATCAATAAGGTAGTGGCGATAAAAGATCAGAGAAAGAAGGCAATGCAGGGGACAGTTAGAATTTAACCAGCTGGGGAGCTCTGGGATGTTGAAAATGCATCTCTATCAATTAAGGTAAAACAAACTACTGTAGTCAGCCACTCACTTTCATCATTCATTATCTGAGCACTACTTCTAAGGGCACTCTCTCACTGACACTTCATACTTGTTCTGATTGAAGTTAAGTGCACTCTTATAGAAAGAAAAGGAATCCCCACATTCCCTCCCTAAGACAGTTGAGACGTTCTACAGGGGCCACCTTAATTATAAAAACGTTGAGTGTGTAGAGGATATGAACAGGGCAACAATTTGCCAGGGTCTATTTGTTACTCATTGTATACCAAACCTTCGAATTGTGTAAGTCTTAAATGTCAAATAAGACATGAGTATTAAAGGGTTAACTGACAATATCAAATACTATATGGATCAGTATAATATAAAAAGCACAGATGAATCATTTAAGTTCAAAAATATGCCAATTGTCGGTGGGAAATAAAAATAATAAAATAAGAAAATGCAGTTTATATTTTGATTGGCCAATGTGGTGGAAAACAGATGGAAATCTAAAGTCTGCCACACTGATTATTAACTGGAGTCAGATATATTAAGGAATATCAAGGAGTTATTTCTAATCAAGAATAAACATTGTATAGCTTTTCTTTTAGTAAAACTTAAGGCCTGGTGTGCTGCGATTCATGGGGTCGCAAAGAGTCGGACACGACTGAGCGACTGAACTGAATTCTTTCATAAATTAATTGACCTAATTAATCAGGTATTTTCATGTCCTACATTATTTAGAGTTTTTAATAGCAATGTGCTTATAAATGGATCTTCCCAGGTAGTGCAATGGTAAAGAATCCTGTGCAGGAGACATCAGAGATGTGGGTTTGATCCCTGGGTCAGGAGATCTGTGGAGGAGGATACAGTAACCCACTGCAGTATTCTTGCCTGGAAAGTCCCATGGACAGAGGAGCCTGGCGGGATACAGTCCATGGGGTCACAAAGGGTCACACACAGCTGAACGACAGTGTGTATGCACATACTTAAAAACAAACTATTTTAACTCATACAAACCCCTTCCTTTTGAGACACTGAGTACTAAGAACATTTTGAATAGTGTATTGTGATGAATTCAGACAGTTTTTTATTATATTTTGGAAGGGGGAGGAGTGTTGTTCCCATATTCTTGTATTTAAGAACTAACAGAAAAACTGTGTTTACTTGCTTAGAGAAATTAAAATTCATTGCAGAAATGGCCAGAATTATGTTAAAAATACTTGAAATATTGTTCCCTTCCACTGTTTTTCTTTCCATATATATATCTTGGAAATCTTAGTTTTTCTTTAGATGTATCTATTTGAAAATTTAGAAAAATGCAAAAGCCACATACCCTTGTAATAAAAAAAAAATGTTTAGAGAATTTTTTCATAGTGTAGACTGGTTAATTAAAATAGCAATACAGAAATATTATAACTGCAGTCCAAAAGTCCTCTTGACTTTGTGCAAGTAAAGGTTGATTTAAATGACCTGATTATTGACTACATATAAACACATCAAAGCCTTCTTAAAATTTAGCTGTATGCTTCTGGATATACATTTCAGAGTCTGTGGCCCTTGGAGATCATGGGAATACTTTGAAAGAAATCAGAAACCAGCCTGGCTGGGAGGCTTTCAGAAGATTCTCTTCGCATTTAGAAAATTTAGAAAAGTCTCCAGGCATTTATAAAATTTCTTTGATATTTTGATGTCTAATAAGACATTATGGGAGCTAAGACTATATATCCCCAATCTTAGCTCCTTGGTGGACATGATGAATAAGGTTTTCAGGGGGGAAAAAAGGCAAGATTTCACTCTGATTGCAATTTTAAGTGCTATTTAAAATCTTCTACTTTATACCATAAGACCTTGTATCACTGAAAATAATAGGGGCAGGGATCAATGTTTTGAGAAAATTAGCCTGCCCCTGTGTCATTCACCTTACCTTGGAAATACTTACTTAGGTCTACATTTTTGACCAGTTCCCTGTCAAATGTCAAGCATCAGTAAATCACACAGTTGCCCAGAATTACAATTGTGGTTACATAAAAAGTGAGAGGCAAGTTAAATACATAAGGTAAAGTGAGAACAGATTCACAAGTAACTATCTACTAGTGGATTCTTGAAAATCAGTTGTCATCTATACACTGAACTGCATTAATTTGCTTATCGGCCATTTTGGCTGAAAAGCAATAATTTTATGCATTTATTAGTTTTTTGTTGCTGTTGACAAATTATAAAACATTTAATAACTTAGTAAAAAAAATCATTATCTTACAGCTTTGGAGGTCAGAAATCTAAAATGGGTCTCAGTGGCTGAAAGCAAGATGTCAGAAGGATTGGGTTCCTTCTATAGAAGGTGTAGAAAGTAATCAATTTCCTTGCATTTTTCAGCTTTTAGAGACCACATGCTTTGCTCGACTCAAGACCTCTTCCTCCTTCAGTGCTAACAGCACAGCATCTCTGTCTTTGACTCAAGCTCTTTAGCCTCATTCTCCCACCTACAAGGACCCTCATGGTTACACTGGGCCCAACTGCGTAATCTAGGATAACTCTCCCCACCTCGAAGTCAGCTGATAAGTAACCTTAATTATATCTGTAGCCTTCATCCATTAAATAAGATTATTTGGGATCTCAGCTCTCAGTACGTTTCCTCTCATGCTTTCTGTAGATTTCTATTACCTTCAGCACTGTGGACAGCAAAGGGGTAGTGCTGATTTTCGGTATAACCGTTGTTAGATTTCCTGGAGCAAGCGTTTCTCTGAACAGTGGAGCCCTAAGTGAAGAAAAAAGAAGTCAGAATGCTACACAGCATGCATGAGGTTTAATAATGAGAAACAGAATTCCTTTCTATATCCCTTAGGTGTTACCTGGACCTACATTCTGGCTGCAGATGACAGAGCACCAGATACTGATCAGTGGTTCAAAGCACCTACAACAGTATGTAGGAGACCTCAGCTTTGTCTCCTAGCTGGCACAGCGATTGCGTTTCCAATAGGTCATTCCATTGTTCCATCAGACCAGCTGCTTTGCATGATGTTAATACCATAAATCCAATGAGTGAGTCTTTTGTCACACTTATTTGACGTAAGACAAGTTTCAGTTCAGTCACTCAGTTGCGTCCGACACTTTGTGACCTCATGGACGGCAGATGGCCAGGCTTCCCTGTTCATCACCAACTAA